ATTTTAGCCATTCTGATGAAGGTGTAGCAATATTTTATTATGATTTTTGTACACATTTCCCTTTTGACTGAGCACCGTTTTATTTTTTTTTTTAATTTTTATTTATTTATGTATGATAGTCACAGAGAGAGGCACAGACACAGGCAGAGGGAGAAGCAGGCTCCATGCACCGGGAACCCGATATGGGATTCGATCCCGGGTCTCCAGGATCGCGCCCTGAGCCAAAGGCAGGCGCCAAACCGCTGCACCACCCAGGGATCCCGAAAAATACACTTCCAATTCAAATTCTCGTGGCTCCTTCTTCTCTCCCTGTTTTTGTTTTCTTTTAAAGATGTATTTATTTATTTGAGAGAGAGAGAGAACAGGAGAAGGGGCAGAGGGAGAGGGAAAGAATCTCAAGCAGATTCCCTGCAGAGCGGAGAGCTGCTGGCAGGGCTCGATCTCTTGACCCGGAGACCATGACCTGAGCCAAAATCAAGAGTCAGGCTCTTAACCGACTGAGCCACCCAGATGCCCCTCCACTGTTTTTAATGCTGTGTGGTTGGTTATATAGGATTTTTTCCTGATTTGCAGAGTTAGTTATTCAGGACTTCTTATTATGGAAGATGAAGACTTAGCTATTTTATACACCCCCAAGTATCTGTCTATAAAGCAAATATTTCCCTAATCCTCCAGCTTTAGAGCCAGAATCCAGCCACTCAGCACAATGACAGCTGAAGCAGGGACAACACTTGACTGCAGATTCTAGATTAGCCTGCTCTAGAAGTATGTGTCCATATACACTACAGCTGCGTTCTCCCCAGATCACATTAAAATTATCCTTATCTATGAAGATGCTAGTAACAATTAAAAAATAATCTTAGATTCTGGCAGCAGTAAATAAACCACTGGGTTTTATGGACCCAACCCTATGAAATAGGATTTGGGAAAATTCTTCATTAAATGGCCATAAAACACAGAGCGGTTCTATACAGTCCATTGTTTCTACTTCTCCTCTTCTCCCCCCCACCCCAAACCCCTTTTCTTGTACGTTTCAAATCCTCTGGCCTCGGAGTCCTCAACTCTGGGAAGCTGGGAGGAAGTGAGTCCTAAGCTGGGGACCAAAGCAGCTCAGCCTATCCAGGGAGCTAAAGTGTTCCTATCTCAGGCCGACAACGGGCCTCCTCCGTGAGATACGCCAAAGCACATGTCTTTTCTGCAGGACAAAAGCACAAGAGCGGGAACAGACTTGAGGGTCTCTCCATTCCATCTCCCCAGCCCTGAAATGAAAGAAACTAGAAGCTGTCGGTCAGAGGCACCAACAAGAGTACGCCAACCCTTAGCAATGCCAAAAAATACTGTTAAACAGAATGCTAACCTGTTGTTGTTGTTTTATATTTTTTGCATTACTCATCTTCCAAATTTTACCAAATGGCTGAGACCTGATACCTGCATATGTAATGCCAGGCACACCCTTGCCACGTAAGTATTTGTGTTCACCTGTGCCAGTCACTATGACTGAGGTCCCCATGAGCAGAGGGCCCGGGGTGAGACCGTGTTGCAAGGGGGAAAGAGTCAACGGAAGGGCAAGAAGCCTCAGGAGCAGTCAAAAGCTTCAAGGGACTGACAATGCTAGTTGTTCAGCTCCTCTTTGTAGACACAGCAGAAAACACAGATAGAAAAACAGGACACAAAGCTACCAAGAATCCCTGAAAAATCACCCAACTTTGCAGGGCCTCCCAGGATAACAATAAGGCAAGGACGCCTGAGTGGCTCAGCAGCTGAGCGTCTGCCTTCGGCTCAGGGTGTGATCCTAGAGTCCCGGGATCGAGTCCCGCATTGGGCTCCCTCCATGCAGCCTGCGTCTCCCTCTGCCTCCCCCTCTCTCTGTGACTCTCATGAATAAATAAATAACATCTTAAAAAAAGGCAAATGAATAAAATACGTAAACCTCTGACTGTTACACACTGTATCTGAGGTTCAGATCACCTGTTTATAGAGAACTTTTAGACCAAAGCTTTATAGGATTGCTGAGACTATAGTGGTGAATATCCTGCTTCTAATTAGATAACGATTCAGTCATTCAGCAAATAAAAAATTTAAAAACAGAAAAAGGGCAGGCTGTCAAGTGGCAGGACAGGAATCACCATCTGAGTGCTTTGGAATTTTAAAGGAGACCAAACAACTGTAACTGATGGGAGGGAGAACTATTAGGACGCAAGAATGAATCAACAGCCCAAACTCAGAAGAAAATCAGAACGGCCACTCATCGGGAGCCTCTGCTGGTGGCTCTGGCAGGAAGCACGTGGACATAGAGCGGGCTGGTGGCATTGGACAGAACGGACAGGCATGGGGACACGGCGGGGGCGACGGCAGGTGGCCGCGGAAGCACGGAGCCTGCACGCGCGTGTGTGTACGTGCGCGCGCGCGCTCATCCACACACCAAGCGGGGCACTGATGTTCCTCTGAGGAATCACAGCCTGGTTTCACAATCCTGAGGAGTCAGGAGGACTCCTGGTTTGGGGGATCAGCAGGAGGGCTGGGAAAGTGTGAGCAGGGACAGCCCGCGCTCGGTGAGCGCCCAACAGCTCCAGGGGAAGTTGGGGTGTTTCTTCCTCCACTGCTTCCCACCGCAGAACACACATCAACATACTGTCCGCAACGTCCTGTGCTCCTTCCTGCCCCAAGGAATCCCCTGAAGCAGACGGAACCCCCTGGTGCTTGTGGCAAAGACAGACCCCCCGTACCCCCATTCCTCAAGTTTCAACCTTACACACACTGTTCTCCCAGAAAACCCTCATAATCCTGGTCCATCGTGTTGTTCAGAAGGTCTTCTCGCTGTTTATACTCTATCCGTACTGCATGAGCCCCAAGTTCTCAGTATCTGTCCCATCAAGAAGTTTTAGACGACAAGAAGCTTCGGGAAGCCGTGGACGGTGCAGGAGTCCGTGGGGGCGCTCCCTGGGGGGCTCCGACACCTCACATCAGGTGACCCTCCCATCCTCCCGGTCAAAGGCCTAGGCCAGGCCTGCTTGGGGGAGGGAGGTGCTATTGTTAATAGGTCCTTGTTTGTCAACAGATGCTACAGAGGCAAACAGACTTCAAGGTCCACCGGGAGGCAATTAAGCGCGGCTCCTGGGGGCCCGCGGGTGTCTGGAACCAGGGGCTCCGCACACTCGCTCTGGACCCGGACCCGGAGGGCCCCGGCCTCCATCACCCTCTCCCTCCCGCCCCGCGCCGGTCTATAAATCACTCCTGGCAGGTAGCTGGGAAGCAGCTGCGAGGGACAGTTCTGCTCTGGAGCACAGGAAGCCACCTTTTAACCCGCCTGCTGTTGTTTGTCTCTCGAAAAACGTGACAAAGGAACAGATGTAAGCAACATGCCAACTGCTGAGGGGATCTGCGGGGCGCTGGAGGAAGCCTGCTCGGGCCACCTCGCACCAGCCGCTCAATGGGAACGCGGGAGCTCGGCTCCTGACGCCTCCATGCACGCGCTGTTCACGCCAGGCTGGGCTCCGTGGCCCTCAGGCAGCTCGCCACCGTGTCCCCTGCCAGCGAGGAGGCCCCTTCCCGAGCTCGGTTCAAATGCCTCCCCCCAGGTCTGGGTTGGCCTCCGTCCTAGAGGTGGAGGTGGAGCACCTAGAGGTGGAGCACCTAGAGGTGGAGCACCTTAGAGGTGGAGCACTCTGGGCCTCGTACCCTGGGCCTTGCACCGGGGCCTTTCCCCCAGCCTCCCGTGGGTCACTCTCTGCTCTGTGCAGACCATCCTGTTACCTCCACGAGGGCTCAAGGCACGGGTTACACGCCTCTATATTCCCAAAGTCGCATTTTTCAAATCCCTGGTTCCGTGATGAGCGCACCGGGAAACACCTTCAAAGGGCTGAGGCCAATATTTAAAAATACGAAATAAAAACAGCTTATGAAAGATACTTGGGGTAAGTGAGGAACTAGTGGGGAAATCTTAGATGATATAAGATTCCTATTAACCTTCCTAGGTTACAGTCATGATGTCGTGCTTCGTAAGAGAATGCCTTATTTCTAGGAGATGCATGCAGAAGTATTAAAAGAATTAAAGCACTGAGGTTGAACTCGTTTTCAAGTGGATCTGCAAAAACGAGAACGAAAAACAAAAACTGAAACCATGTGTGTGTGCATGGGTAAGTACACACAAGCACAGGGAGAGCAAATGGGAGAAAATGTTTCCACCGCTGAATCTAGGTGTTCACTGAGTTGTTCTTTGAATTTTCCTGCAGTGCTTTAAAAGTCTCGTAATAGAAAGTGGAAGTAAATGAAATGGAAGAGGAAAAAAAAATGAGAATGCAGAACATGAAGTATGATCTGGTTTCAGGTGTCTACGTGTGTGTGTCCTGGGCTATAATGTAAATATTTCTTACTAGTGGGTCAAGGAGAAGAGTTTGAAAATGCTGCCCTACAGCGTCCTCGCCGCGCCCACTGCGGGTGTGCAATGAACTATTTGTTAATTAAATTCTAGAAGCACAAGACTTTAATGAAGAAGCAAGCTGAGGAGTCATTTGGTTTCCAGTCATATCCCATTAACTCAAGCTGTGTCAAAACATCCAAGCCTTTTCCTGCCTTAGCATACCTGGGCCTAACCTCAACTCAGCCTTCAGGCTGTTCTTATCGGACATTTAATTACTCATCAGAAAGGCTATTCTGGGCTTTCCCCTCAGATGCCAGGGAGGGGGCTGTTTAAACAGAAGACTGCGTTGGGTGACCAGGTGTCCCGCAGTTTGCCTTGATTTGAAGTGTCTTGCACACTAGGGAAGACCATGGACAGATGAGGGAGAGCAGATGCTGCTGTGCCACGTGGCTAACGGGACCACGGCAACATGGGCTCGGCTAGCAGAGCAAAAATCGGGACAAGACGGAGATCTCCCCCGTTGGCATCCCAACGGCAACAGCAAATGCCGAACTCCAAAGTGTCTCTCACACCCTTTAACAAAACCCCTCTCTGACTATTCACCAACTAATCCAGGAAGCAAAGGACAAAGGGAACTTACTGTAAAAACGTCATCATCGCCAAGCTCAGCTTCGTTATGGATGGTGGAAGATGATGTGGTTGAACCTAAAAAGATAAAAAAAAAAAAAAAATAAAATAAAAAAAGAAAGAAAGAAAAAAGAAAAGAAAAAATACAGTAGAACGCATTTCTGAGGATAAGTCAAAGCCAATCATTAAAAAAAAAAAAAAAGGTATTTTAATGAAACCACACTCTGTTCCTTTTGAATATGAATCATCAGTAGACACACATGACCTGGGAATTAAACGTTTTTCATTCACTCTTCTTTAATAGACTCTAGCTAGAACGTTCCGGAAATCACACCTTGCCGACTGTAGCTCTCAGTTTATCCCTCAAACTTCTGCAGGGGCCACTGGCAAAGCAGCACCCAGAGAGGCACCTCGAGTGGGCAGGGGAGCCAGCCCGCTGCTCCGAAGCACAGTAGCCCCCCAGCTGGGACCCGCCACAGTCTCCCCGTCGCCTGGACTTAGCTTTTTGGTCTTTTCTTCTGCCAACAAGAAGGGCTGACTGGACAGTCACGACTCTTGCTCTGGAATTCGACACTGGACTCAAAAACCCAGACGGTGGGAGATGCCTTCTGAGCTGACACCCACACAAAGAGGTTCTCTCTCACAATGTTGGGGCATCGGTGAGTTTCCTATTTCTGCAGGCTGGAAATCTGGGCTCATGCCAGAAAACCCCATTTATTCTATCATGGAATGATCTGGGCATTTAGGGTATTTACTTGTCCATCTCCTTCTTCACTCCAGTATGCAGATCCATATAACTTTTCTCTCTTCCCCTAACAGTACCCAATACCGTGTGGACCAGCTTAACAGACACTGTTAGTGGCCAAAAGGAAAAACATATTAAAACCTGCCCAAGTGATAGGTATACCGAAAAGGAAATTTCTTCTCTATCTCCTTTTCTTGGTTAGGTCTTTCAAAACGTGCATCTGGAAAATATTTTGCTATTCCATACAACTGGAATTAGAAGAATTGCTCAGAAAGGGATGCGAACGATTTAAATTTCTAACAAAGAGGTTGCAGGAGAAAAAATAAGTCCCCTGTGCAATTACTACTGATCTTTCAGGAGTTTTCCCTACTTGTTCAATTCTTCCAGTCGACTGGCATTTGCGGAAAGTCTCACAGAAAACCGCTAGGTAGGGCATATACAGAGAAAAAAAATGACAAGTGAGAGAATCAAATTTGTGTGTCGCTTCAGTGAATGGCATACAGCACAATTCCATCAATAACATGGGAGCTGTTTTCTCTGTAAACGTCTAAAAGCTACGTTGAGTAACATTTTAAACATTTGCCACCTTATGTCAGACCCATCGTGTGAACTCTGGTCTTTACTGCCTTTCTGGCCATCACATGGTTGTAGCCAAGAGGGTCGTGTTCTAGCTAGAACTCTCTTACTACCGATGTTAAGCGAATCTTCTTTACAAGATTTGCTTTTTTTGCTCTCACCTCGAATCCACAAAGGAGAAAATGCCATCCGAACACTTCAATTCTTAAACAAATGCGGCACACGTTCTTCTGTAATTAACCTCTCCGAATTCTGAATTCGGCTTTCGCGTGCCTTGCTTATTTCTTTCTTCAACAGGGTCCTGGCCATGGCACTTTCCATTCTCTGAATGGATAACTGAACGTGGTGAAGTGCAGACTCCAGGAAGGCCCACGAGAACTGACTGCCCAAGAGCCTTCCAGGCCACAGTCAAATGCGATGTCTACTACCCACTCACCCACAGACTTAAGGCCTAGACCAAGCCAGGGCTCCAGGAGTCACAGATCGCCTTCCTTTTCGGTGCCAGCCAAACACCCTGGGCTCTCATTACAGGAAGGCAGTGGGAAGACCTGGCACCTTCTGGGCCCATCAGAATCCATTCTCCATTTCTGAGCCCACATGGACCAGACCAAAGCCATTTCAATAGTCAGAGAAAGGTGACATCTGTCAAGCCATTGACATGCAAGTCCAGAACTTAGCTTTTCAGAGCAGAGTCTACAAACCAAATGGGATCACCCCTTACTCTGAAACCCATCTCCTTTCCCCCTATACACTGTCACTTTGCAATTGTTCTCTGTGGAGGTTCCTGAAGTTTTGGCATCTACTGACCTAGCCTCCAGGGCTCCCCCAAATAAAGCACAAAGATAGGATGGCAGACAACTGGAATAAAAAAAGACCTTGGAACATTCCCATTGTCCCCTTAAGAACACAGTGACAAAATCCAGTACCTTCTATGAGGTCTTCGATTGCTTTCCTCACTCCCCTGTCAAAGGCTCGAGCATCCGCAGGGCTTTGGAAAGTAAGTCCAAACTTCCTATTGTCGACCTTCCAGTGATGAAAGGTTGGGTTGGCTTTGGTGTAGACCAAGTCCTTTCTTACATAGCATTCCAATACCACCTGAAGGATCAAAACGCACAGGCTGGTTACTTGTGAAGCAGACACGACGGTGTCTGGTTACAAAAACCCAACTAGGAACCATTCATCGTTGCTGGCAACAAACGAAAACCCTCCAATCCCTGCCTTCTCTCATCTGTGAATCTCTCCATCTTGAAAGAAGCTTTTGTTGCCTCGTGGACCATCTGCTCTTTGCTGATGGTCCCCCACCCCGTTCGCCTTTGGTAAGCCTCACTGTACCACTTAACGTCCTAATTCTCCATCATTTTAATTCCTCCTGCCCCTGATTGTGGGGGGCACTACGCCAAGGCCCAGCGCTTGGGGCCTTTGCTCCTGTTTCAGGTCTACTACTTCTATGTCAGGGCCTTTGTATTCATGGCTCTCAATCTTCCCTCTTCTGTCCCGATGGGTGTTTCCCAGTGACTTCACATGCAACATGTTGAAAAAATTAACCTGTTCTGAAATTTCTGCCAACTTCCCATATTTAGCAATGCTGACCTTTCTCTGTTCACGCTCTCCATCTCAAAATCTCCACGCCTGTCTCCGTCTCTTCTGCTTTCTCTATCTCCTGTATTACTGACCACTAAGGTCCACATCCTTTTTACTTTATCTTGTGTATCAACCTCATTTCAGTTGCTCCCACCCTGTAAACTTTGATCTGCATTATTCCAACAATCACATTTCTAGTGATCTAGTCCCAGAAATGCCTTTTACGAAAGCTGTGACCTGGAGCTAATTGTTTCAGACCCTTGATTTTCTTTTTTTTTTTTTTTATCTTTAAAATGGAAATAATGCCAATGCTATCAACGAGAGAACACAGACACCAACATGCTTGGAAAACACCAAATGAGAAACTTAACAGGGTCACACTCGTTTCCCAGGATATTCCCACCATCACATTTTACTCTTTTATTTATTCCAGTTCTTCCTGTGACCTTCACAATTTGGTACTTGATTTCACAGTATTTTCTAACAGTTTCATGTGCATTAGCCTTGTGCCCTTAACCAAGCTGTAAAAGATCAAGATGCATTACAAAATAACTCCATGTCCAGCACAGTGCTGTTGCTGATAAAGACACCAGAGTTTAATATTATATAATAAAAGAAGCAGTGCCGTCATGTAAATGTAAACTTCATTCTTTATTCACACACACACACACACACACACACACACACACACACACCCAAAATAGGGACAGTATTTACTCCTACGGCTTCATTAGGTATACTAAAATGATTTTGCTAAGTTTTAATAGCTTTGATCTTGTTCTGGCAAAGCTCCACATTTAACAAAATCAGATCTTATTAATTTTAGACTAAGCAGAGGGAAAGAGTAAAAGCCCTGCCTAAATTAGTATAAGTTCAAATTAGAGAGTAACTTTAAATGCAGACAAGTTTCAAGAATACATCTAAGCAAACAGAAATTAAGCGCTGCCTAATAAATGGTCCCCGACTTAATAAATAGATGAGTATAATGGTGACATTGGTATATCAAACGGAGATCCCAGCAGTTCACTTTATCACATTGTATTGAAAGAAGACAAAAGTCCCCTCACATAGTTCTATTTATGATTAAATTGCTTATTATGGCCATTTTTCTCTAAGAATAGTGCAATGATTAAATGTCAGCCCAGCCCCATTCCAAATTGGGGAAATTCAAATAACCAAGGCTTTAACCAACAAATGTTATCTATTTTAGAATTTAATAGTCTCAATTCAAAGTCTCAAAATAAACTTTTTGTAAAAAACAGACTTCCAGTTTCTCTCTATTTATTTTTAAAGTAAACTCTACCCCAACATGGGGCTCGAACTCATGACCCCGATGGGGTCAAGAGTCTCATGCTCTACTGACTGAACCAGCCAGGCACCCCTCTCCGTGTTTTTAGGGTGAAAAAACATTAGTCTTTGGTTGATGTTTTCCAGGTTTAAAATTCTCCCAGTGGTAAATTTTCTTAGAGAAGTTACAGAATTCTTAGAAAAGTTCGGCCATCTAAGATCAGTGAGGGCAAGGGGACCAAATACCCTCTCTTTATGTCCTTGTTAGAGGAAAGAACATCATTACCTATCTGTTTAGTGAGAAAAAGGAAAAAGTTCAGATGCTTTCACCTTCGCAGGTATGAACCCTCTAGTGGAGTTTGGCATTAACTCAAAACTTGACAGAGGCTTTAACAAGTTATCCTTTTAATCGAGATGCACGGGGAGAGAAAAGGGATTATAGATTCTCGCTGGGAGCTTTAAAAAAATCTATGAAATCCATGAGGGCTCCATGCTTGTTCCTCTCTCCCTCCAGAGCCGGCCACCGCCCGGGGGGACACAGGGCCAGGCCCCTTCCTGCCCCCTTCAGCGCCTTCTTTCTATGCACGGAAGCCTGCGCGTGAGCGACTTTAAACGCGGCCACACCTGTAACGGGCTCTGCCGCTTGCCTGTTACCTTCCTGGAGGACGCATCTTGGAGCTGGCACAGGGAAGCTCAGCGGGCCACGTTAGGATCGCCGGCCGGTCACTCCGGGGACAGCGCCGGAGCGAACATCCTCTCCACGTCCCCAGATCCTGTCCCGTGCGCTCCTGGGAGGACTGCCCTCTCCTACCCCCACTCGTGTCACGGGGTCCAGGACGGCAAAACTATTATTTTCACAGAGTAAAACCTTTTTTTTTTCTTGGCCTTTTCACTGTTAGCATTTCTGGCGAGGACGCGAAAGGCACAGCGAGTGGGGCGGCAGCGGCGCTGCATGGGCCAGGGCGGGGCAGCGAACTGGCGACCGCGGGGCTCGGCTCGGCCACTCGGCTCGGCCACTCGGGCCGGGTGAGGCCAGCTCACGTCGGCGTGTCCTCGACGAAGCAGTTAGCAGGTATTAAATCGTGACCCTTGAACTCGGCCTTTAGCCTGTGAGGCGAAACAGGAGGCGCACATAATGGGACTGTCCCCTCTGGCTCTGCATTCAGTGCGCCGGGCGGTGCTGCTCTGCTGAAGAGGAAGCAGGCAGGGCTCCAAGGATGCGGGGCGGGCGGGACGGGCGGGCGGGGCATTTCTCCCAGCTTGTCACGCCTGCTGCATATGGATGAAGACGGTCTCAAGGAAAGGTCCTTGTGCAACTGTTTCAGTGTGACCTGGACTAACTGCCTTCTTCATGGATCACCAGGTTTCCTTGAAAGAACCGCCGGCGGATGAACTACGGTTTACTCGGCCCCGGGGTCTGGCAGATACTTTCTTGAAAAGGAACACGGCGAGCCCGTCACTTCAAGGGAAACAACTGGAGGCATCTGTTGCCAATAAGAAAACCTGCACTTTCCAGTGAAATTAGAATTTTGGACAGCTTCCCAACATTTAACTTTTCTAATGATATATTAGTGGTGATGTTGAAAAATGTTGACTTTTTGATACTATAGATTAAATGTATCAACATCTGGAAGATCTGCGGCACTCAGTAAACCATTATTTTTCAAATGACATGACGTCACAAAATCAGGGATGAGTAAAAGGTCCACTCAAAGTGAAAGATAAACCAGTAGATTTTACTGTAACAGTATGAAAAGTTCATTAATGTGGATTCAGATCACACATCTCAGAAACTACTTACTCCAAGCCGAGTTTTGGTGTGGTATCCAAGTACATCTATATCTAATATCCTGAAAAGGCTATTAATAATTTTCTCCCTTTTTGAACTACTCATCTGTGTGAAGCTGGGTCTTCCTCATAAACTTCAACCAAAACAACAAACGGCAACAGCTTGAAAGCAGGAGTAGATCTCAGAATCCAGCAATTCCCTATTAAGTCAGATATTAAAAGAGATTCGCAGAAATATAAAGCGATGCTACTCTTTTCCTCCAATTGTTTTTATTCTGGAAAATAGTTATGTAGTGACTTGTAAGTAATTTTTAAAATTTAGGTTTTAATTTCTAATATGGTAAAAATAAGTAGCTGTAACTCAAAAAATGAAAGCCTTTTAGGGGCCTCAATACATTCTTAGAGTAGAAAGGGATCCTGGGACCAAAAAATGTTTGAGAAACTTTGCTTTCCTTAAATCTTTGTGTCTAAGTCTAACATTCTAGGATTGGGTTTAAATACGAAATGGCAGGTTAAAAAGTACATACATTTAAAATGAACATCCTGCCAAATTGTCGCCCAAAGAGCTCTACCAGCTGGAACTCCCACCCAACGTGCACGTATGCTCACAGATCTGCACATGTACAACGAGTGGAATGACCAACCTTTTAGATTGTGATTCATCTTCACAGGGTGGTTTCTCATGGGATGTAAGGAGTAAACTTCTCTACTTTATCTAAAATAATTCAACTCAGAAATTTTACATTTATGTATCATTTCTCAGGAAAACTTAATTGTCCCAGCTTAAAAAAAATTATCCATATAACCATTTCTGAATGAACGTCTGGAACACAGACTTTCCACACGGAAACAATGGTAGTTCTGTTCGCAGGCTTCAACTTATAATTCAAATAACAACAAGAACCAAAGTGCTAAATTCTAGAACTGCACTACGTTGGGAAAACTAGTGATAACGCTGTTTCTATCAGAAAAAGTCATTTCTGGTCCTAGTTGGAATACTACCAACTCTGATACTATCCATCCAAAAATGATCTCCACCCTCTCCTCACCATTCCACCACTTTGTGTGTGGGGGGGGAGGGGTCCTTCAACAACCTATGCCATCTGGAGGCTCCCATGTGGGGTTCATGCCCTCTAGTAGGCAGCTTGAAGGCCAAAGCTTGGAGGCCAACGGAGTCACCACAGCTCCAAAGGGTGTGTGTGTGTGTGTGTGTGTGTCGTGGGACAGGGCGGAGGGGAGCGGGGGTGTCAGAGTTAAGTACCACCAAGTAGAAGAGTCCAGAATTTCCCAGAGTGTAAGGGGTAGAGAGATGGAGAAGCACTGGGTATATGGGGGCGTGTGATTTCAGTGTGAGGGCACCTAAAAGTCTAGAAGTGTAGAGTCACAGAATATAAAAGGCACAGCAAGAGAAATGGAGTGACAGAGAAACATGACAGGGTGGGGAGGATGGGGGGATGAGGCACATAATCCTTGTACCACAGCAACAAATAATAGGAGTTGGTCCACAACCAGGACCGTCGTATTACCATGCAGAGTTAGTGTGAGGGCCCAGATTTTGGCCTTATAATGAAATGGTTTGTAATGTAGGCTCTGCTAATGACCACGTGCTTAAGACCAAGGAAATGGATCACTTCTTGGAGCCTTGAGTTTCCCCACTGCAAGGTGGAGTTAAAAAGTATCTTCCTCCTTCCGAACGTTACAGGAATTTAACTGAGGTTTTATTTTACATAAAGGGCCTTGACCAAAATGGTAAAAGTTTACAATTATTAGGTACAAGTCAGTGGTTACATCCAAGTTTATAATTATATTTCTAAAACAAAGGGGCTGGATGAGACAATCTAAAGGCCATGCTACGTTGACATATTCTCTGACAAACTGTGAAACTATCAAGAAAAAATAGATCTAAAAAGTCTTCGCTGCTCAGGCACGATAATTCGCTAACACAAAAGTAGTAATAAAAATAAAAAGGGAAGAAGTGGGGGAAAAATCCTATTATAATTTTTGTTGAAAAAGAACACCAAAACAAAATTTAAGTAACAAATTGCAGTAAATATGGCCAATGAAAAGGAGTATCTTTCTTATAGGAGAGGGCATGCGTAGCAAGGAGAAAAATAAGGCCCCCAACAGATAAATAAGCAAAGGACACGACAGATAATTCATAGCTGTTTAACAAGTAGAAAAACATCAATACCATTAGTGCTCAATGACATGATACCACTCTTACTCTGTCAAATTGGTCAAGACTTAAAATATAAGACCCTCCATGTGTTAAAGGAAATTCTCATCCATGCTGGTAGCAGTTTTTTGTACAAGTATCCAAAGCCATACAAATTTGACGCTCTGAATTATTCCAAGAAAATAGTAAATGTGGAGAATGCAGGCAGGTAATGCTGGGTGGGTGCCAGGGAGGAAAAGCACCTTAACAATGATAATAACCCTAAGGAGATGATCAAATAAACAATGTTGCATCAACCTGATACCAGCAACTAGAAAATTTGCTAAGGCAAAGCAAATGAGATACAAAATTGTTGGCAAGCTCCAGTCAGAGCTATGTAAAAATAAAAAATAAGCACATGGGGGAGAAACTACTAACGGCAGTTGTACACATGTGACTTTGGCTCAGTTTTAGGGTCAAAGTGACAGGTATCAAATACTGGTTCCAGGTCCTAAGGATGGGTCCCCCAAGAACAAGGGGAATTTCTGAATCTCAATTTTTTTCGCTTATAATTATCCAGGCTATTGTAAGGACACGGTGATGTCACCTAACTAAAGGGCTAGTGTTGTATTTAGCACATGGCAGATGTCAGCTAAATGGTAGTTATCTTACTTTCTTACTGGTAGTGTGGTCATATTGCCTTTATTGAGAATATATTGCAAATAAGGACGTTTTGATTATTTGACTAATGGGTAGGGAATTTCCTGAATGGACACCCTTCTTAAAATGAGCTTATGTTCTTCCTTTTAAACTTTCATTCATCTTCTTTCTGGAAACGAATCAAGTGTGAAAATAGCATTTCTGTTAATCTATATATAACATTTACAAATTGTCCTGTCTTATCTATTTGGTAACTTTTTTAAACAGAAAGAAGTGGTTGCAAAAGAAGATTACATTTGTACATTTAACACATAAAACTCAACAACACGCTCGCTGTCAAGGGTCTCAGACGTAACACGGACGTTTCCTGTGGTATCTTGCTATTTTCCCTGGTGAGATCCAATACGATCCTGCACGTTGTGAAGCAACAGTTGGCTTCTCAGTATAGACTCCAGGATCAAACAGGACAGAGAGGAGCAAAGTTCAGGTTCAAGGCCACCAATTAAAAATAGGCTTGGACATTCAATTTTTCTTCGCATCATAGATTTCTTCCTAAGTTAAACCTGGACACCCAAGTTCTTTCGTGGAACTGTAGGTTATGAACTACCAATGCTCCACTCGTGAAAGAGTAATGATCACTCTCCAAAGTATGTATTTAATGAGCACGTAGAATGATTAGAGATGTGTGATACCACTACTTTTATTCAAACATGTTTTATTCATTAGTGTATGAAACCAAAGCTACAGTATTTTTTCAATAAACAGTACTGACAAGTAACATGTCGGGTGACATTCGGCCTTCGCACCTGACCTTTTACCAGCCAAGCCTTGATGGCATGCTCCACGAAGAAACCCTACATTTAAAAAAACAAGAAAACAGACAAACAAAAAAAACACGAAGAAAAAAAACAAAAAACAAAAAAAACCCCGACCTCACAGCTCCCGACAGTGCGATTCAAAACAAAGAACACACTTTTGTTTTGAGTATCTCGTTACAGTGACAAAGACAGCGGAATTCATCAAAGACGCACAGAGACAGCCAAATACACGACTTCTAAGCACCTGCGGTGTCTGGAGTGTGGTAAAAAGTGCCTCCGCGGGAAGGCCAGGGTTAACGTTTTGCATCTGACATCAGCTCCAGAGCTCTAACTTCCGAAGAAGCTTTCACAACAGTTTGAAGTCAGAGAAATAAGGGGGTGGGGTGGAGGACACGGTGGGGGGGGGGGGGAGACAGTAACCACCACCACCAAAACCTACGAGAAGAGGGCTATGATTAAACATAAAGCAATCAGTCGTTTGCTGATTTAAAAACCCATGCGTTGCATGTCTGCCATTACCAGTTTGTCTTTCTGTCGTTCACCATGGATGAGAAAGCCGCTTCGTCCATTGCCTTCGGGGTGCATGACCTTACAGACCCCCACGCGACTGATCCCGCCTCCTTCCTGTGGGAACCATCCCCCGCTGGAGTCATCTCTGGTCATAACCACAGCCTTGACACGCACAATATAGCTGTCACTAAAACGACAACAAGAAGAACGGGGCATGACAATGGTCTGGCAGCTGCAGGACACGTTTCACAATGCAAGGGGACCACCAGCCAGCATGTTTCTGGACTCATCGAAAGAAAATCTATGCCTCGCAGCAACGGTAAAGGGTAGGTTCTCAATGTAAGGAGGGGGGGGACCCAACACTTAAACTAAACACACGGCAAATATACATTTTTAAAGACACCCAGTAATTCTTAAAAAAACTGTGAGTCTTTGAAGACATACGCAGGCATAACATTCTCTAGTTTCTGGGCTGTATTAATAAAATAAATGAGCTCATTGCTGTAATTTGTTATCTGTAAGTTAGGAAAGACAAACCTATTAAGAGGATATTACCATTTCAACCCTTAAAACTTAGTTTACAATGAATGGCCTAGGCTTAACATTTTTTAAAACTAATAATCTTTTGATTTAGCACAAGAACAGGATAATTCCCTTCCGAATCGCACATTCACCATGCAATCATGTATGTAGGTGGGAAAGCATTTCAGTCCCAATACCCTCTACACATGTGCTGCCTTCTGTTTATGATTTTATTTTTTCCAGTCTAAATTTCAATTTCGCAATAAGTTCTTTTGCACATTTGCCAAAAATCCTCTTTCTTCTCCAGAGACCAACTCTAGCTCTTTTCATTCTTCATTATTTTTGGGGAAACGCACTTGGGTGTCTCGGCAAGGCCCTTTAAATTCTCATTTGCTGTTTTCTTTCTTTGGACAGAATTCATTTTTTTACTCATTCAAACATATATTCACATCTTCTATATGCCAGGCACTGGGCCAGATTCTGGGGGAAATAACGATGCAGAGTAACACAGAAGGCCTTCTGTCCTCGGGACTGTGGGAAGACCCTCCGCCACCCCCCACGCCAGCCAGTGCCCGGCCACTGCCATCTCCAGTCTACCAGAGGCCACTGCCCTACACCCCTGCTCACCCAGCACTCACTCAGGTTTCCCGGGACTCCCTTGTGCCTCAACTTTTCCTGTGACTCTACTCCCCTCCACCATGCCTCCGTGCTCCCTGTTAACTCATCATTCCTTTCATTTTTAAAGCAGGTAAAATACATATGAGATAACATTTTACCTTTTAAGTGTGCGAGTCTGGGGCACCAAGTACACTGCCATTGCTCTGCAGTGTCACCACCACGGTCTCCAGAACGATGGTTTTCATATTCCCAAGCTGAACCTGCAGACCCATTCAACACTAACTCCCCGTACTTCCCCCACCCCGCCCAGCCCTGCAATCACCATTCTACTTTCTGTCTCTATGATTTTGACTGCTCTGGGTACCTCACAGAAGTTCCTTCCACTTTCTTAACCTGAATGGAAGCGTGTTCTAGGGCTGAGCTCCTGGGGCCCACGACTTGGGGCCACGGTCTCTCTCCTGCATCCCTCCATGCGAAGCCTAGAGGTGGGGCGAGGTGGGGCAGGGTAGCCCGGGCTACTGGTGTGCTCTCCAGTTCCTCTGAGACTCACAGGTCTGACCATGCCCCCAATACCCTCCTTTTCAATCTTCCACAGACCTCTGGGCCACATCCCTTCCCTCATTCCAGGAAGACATTTATTTACAAACTGTCCCTCCATCTCTCTACCATGATCCCTGCTGTGATTCTTGGTAATCTCCTTATTTACACAGAGGATCCGGACACAATTCTTTGGCTTCTTAGTTTCTGGAACTCTTCCTCAACGCCCTTGTCTTACCCCCAACCTATGTAACCCAAGCCCAGGTCACACAGCGACCTTGTCATTACCAGTCTCTGCATCATCCCCTTAACCTCAATTTCAAGCATCCTGCTCTCCAGCTACCACTTCCCAACTTCACAGCTCACTCCCTCCACATTCCTACAAGTCTTCACCCCACTGGGACCAACCATCTATCGCTCTGACCACGTCCCCCGACCCCATATCTTCATGTTCTCACTCGATTCACTGCTCAATTTATGTTCCATAATCTATCACAACACGCTTTTGTACAAAAACAACACATCGCCCTCTCTTTCTTCACTGTAATGCTTTGGTGAGACCCCAACCCTGGTGAAATTCCACCATCTACTTAACTCCATGCCCCACCCAGGCTGTTGAACACGACTTTGTTCATAGGTCTTAGTTTTATTTTATTTCTTTAAAAGATTTATTTATTTATTTATTTATTTATTTATTTATTTATTTATTTATTTATTCATTCATTCATTCATTCATTCATTCATTCATTCATGAGAGACACACAGAGAGAGGCAGAGACACAGGCAGAGGGAGAAGCAGGCTCCATGCAGCGATCCTGGCCAGAACTCCGGATCACGCCTGAGCTGAAGACAGACGTTCAACTGCTGGGCCACCCAGGTGTCCTTTTTTTTTGTTGCTGTTGTTGTTTAAGACAAAGGTCTAGTTTTAAAGTCACTAACCTCAAGTGGGCTCGTAAGTGCCCCCCAGCATGCTGATACATTTCCCTCATCTGTCCCCAAGAAGATCATTTCATAGGTCCTCCTAGCCTGTCCCTCTCGGATGGTGGATGAGCTTCCTTTAATTGCCCTGGGGAAATAAGCAAAGTCAGAAGGGACCTTGCACCTGTACCCACTATTACTCTGCACCAGTACTCTCTGCCTCTCTCCTTTAACTATGGCTAAACCATCCATAGCCCAAACTAGGGCCAACCAACCTACCTAAAATTCTTCTAGGGCCTAATAGTGCCCAAATTCACATTTCTACCCAGACCTCTTCCCTGAGCTTCAGGTCAGTAAAATCAACTGCCTAGGGCATCTGGCAGGCATCTCAAGCAACATGCTTCAGATTGAACTCTTAATTCTCAATACCTTTTTATTCTATTGGGTTGTCTCCTGGATATATAGCCAGAACCTCCTTTTTATCACCCCCATCAACAGTGCCCTAATCCCTGCTACCATCATGTTTCAGACTATTTCAACAGCCTCCTACCTGGCCTTCCTATGTCCACACCTGCCCAACGTCCTAAGAAAATAGAAAGGTGAGTCAGATCATGAGACTTTCCTCAAACAAACCATCAAATAGCTTCCTACATTACTCCAAGTAAAAAATCAAACTCAAGCACTTATCACTGTCTTCCTTGTTCTTTCTACCTCAGTCCCATTGCCCTCGTCCTCCATATTAAGCACACTATGACCTCAGGGCCTTGGCACTTGCTATCCCCCCCCCCACACATACCCTTCTCTCCCCACTAACTCAGCTCATTTCCTTATCTCATTCAGGTCTCTGGCCAAGATTAATTCATCAGGGAAGATTCTCTGCTTTATATACAGTAACACCCTCCAATCTCTTAAATCTTCTCATCCTTCATCTTTCTACATGCTACTAAAACAACATCCGCCCGATTTGTTTGCCCACTTTTCCCAACTAGAATGTAAACTTCATGGAGCAGAGCCTTTGTGCTTTTTGTTCACTGCTACATTCCTAGAACCTACAGCATGTGTTTTATATGTGGTAGGCTATGGAATGAATGGGCTAGATACATAATATTTACATATTTAAATATTAAAAAGTTATTAGTAGCTAACAAAATCTCCAAGAAAAAAAATATTCATAGCATGCATTTTTTTAAATTTTTATTTATTTATGATAGTCACAGAGAGAGAGAGAGAGAGAGAGAAGCAGAGACATAGGCAGAGGGAGAAGCAGGCTCCATGCACCGGGAGCCCGACGTGGGATTCGATCCCGGGTCTCCAGGATCGCGCCCTGGGCCAAAGGCAGGCGCCAAACCGCTGCGCCATCCAGGGATCCCAAGAAAAAAAATATTCAATACTAATTCGCTTATCAGCCAAAATAGCTTAGTTGGGATAGGATAAAGATTTCATTAACAAGAAAAGTAAATTTAATAATCAGGTGGTATCTATCATTAATCCACTCATCTCATGATTCAAACCCATATTCCTAATCTCTTGATAACATTCATTTAGATTAGTTACATGCAGACAAGTTGAAAATACATTCCTCTCCCTCCCACCCATGCTCCATTCATTCTAGAAAAACTAAAGGTCCCCAGAATTTGTAACTCTCCAAGATGAAACACATGGCTTTCTCAGATCTTCTGGGAACGTACTATGGGTTTATCCTGATAGGAAATGGCCAAGGTGAATATCTGAAACTCTACACACCTCTTGTTAAAACGTTTTTTTGTTGTTGTTGTTTTTTGTTTTTTACATTTTTTGTGTTGCAGCTGTCTGCTGTCTCCTTTCCTTTGAGGGGATAAAGTAAACAGGGAAAAAGGGAAGTTGGCATTACTTATGTTGGTGCCATGAACTTACTTCCAAAGAGTATTCATTTATTGGAGATTTAAAAAAAAAAAAAATACTCCACCCCTTGGCCTCCAGACTACAGGAGCTGCTAATTCTGGTCTTTGCTTGCAGCCTGCCACATTCTCTCTCTGGCCCTAATTCCTCCTGTGCCCCTTCCCAAGAGCATAGACCTCTCTGTGATGGGGTGTGTGTGCTGGGGGGTGGGGAACAGAGCCCCCCCCCCCCCAGCCCATCTTCTCCGGCAACAACCCCATCAGCCAGCATTAAGGGAGGCATCTGGCTATTTAAAACAAGCCAGGGGATAAAGTGTTGCACTAAAAGCTGTGAAGGATGTCTGGATAATCCAGCTGCATGGCCACATGCCAACTGCTTCCTATCTGTGCTGTATTTATGTTCCTCAGGCACTTCACCCCACCCAGAACAGAAACATCAGTGAACTCTACTACCAAATAGGTATACGGGACGAAAACTCCCTTCCTACCTTCCCTCTGTCTCTTTCTGGAAAGAATTAAACAACATGTTTAAGCCAGATGTTGGTTTGTTTGGGGGAGGATGAGACAGGAAGGGCAAGGGCAGATTAGTTGTTTTTTTTTTTTTTTTTTTTTAATTTGCACAGGGGAAAAAGAAGAAATTTTTAAAATGCTATTGTCAAAAATAACAAAATTTTAAAAAAATGCATCTGCAAGCAGCAACTGCTTAAACCAGTGT